AGGCTGTAACCATGGCATGTATGGCGATCAACCGGCTTCCTAGTGCTACAAGAGCCATCTGTGGACTCATTCCAGCCGTGGTGCTTACTACTACTACTACTACTACTACCACTACTACGACGACTATGGCGACTAGTACTATTATTGTAAAGCCAAATAAGAACATGCGCCAGCATACTACCAGCATAATTGATACATGATGGCCTGCTGGCAGGTGCCACAGGAGATTGGCTGCACAAACCTGGGATCAGATCCGGGCAACATCAACGGAAAACTCCGGCAAGACCCATACAGTGCTCTACAATTTTCGGTCAAGATGCACGTCTGTACAAATTGGGCAGCGCAGAACTGGCGAGACCGCATCTGGATGGACAAGCTCATCGTCGGCAAGCCCCATCCTGGTCTTGTGGCTACAATAGCAATCAGCTTGCCCTGTGAAACCTTGCACATTGCAATGCTGATGCTGAGTGGCAAGCGACAACCAGGTCTCGGTGTCAACTTTGACCGATACAGCGGGCGTCGATCCAACAACAAACTTTCGTTGACCCTCCAGCTACTGACCTTAACGCATCATGTCTCTGGGCTCAAGTCCTAGATGTCTTTGGCGGAAGAGCAGCTAGTTGCAGCTACCCGGCGTTGTCTGCATTGCTGTTGGAGTGGGCAACATGCCAGCAATTGAAAGGACTGAAGAACCTACGCAGCGTCCGCACTGCTTTGATCCAACAGCCAGGCACCAAATCACAAGAACATGGAATAGAATCAACTTGCAAAAACCTGACCACTCTTGCCTCTGCGAATCTGGCCAAGTTCTTGGCTTCCTGCATGTTTTCTACACACTGGACCGTCAGCGCTGCGTGCAGTGCGTGGCGAATTTCCGTACCTCCGGGGCCAGATCCTGCAACACCAGGAAATCCTCAGAGAGCGCTGGCAGGTAGCACATGTACCCCACATGAAAGGACAGCAACCCAGTCCTTGGACTGGGAACGTTCAGGCTGGCCATGGGCAATACTGTCCCACACCTCCTCGCATGGCTTGAAAACTGCATGGCTCAGAGGCACGCAGTTCGCCCAGTCCTTCGCATCAACACTGTGGAACTCACACACGCGCTCAATCTCCTCCCAAGCTACCTGCCCACTTTGCAGCTTTAGACTTTTATGTGGTCACTCTTCCTTCATCCAAGAAAGACAAATACTGGAGCACTCATAGTGCCGCCTTACGGCGAAGAGGAAGTTGAGGGGCTAGGATGATGGTCGTCTGGGTACGCAAAAATGACTAAGACTAACTCTTTTGCCATGCGCAAAGAAACCTACTAACCCAATCTAACGCACAGACGCTACAACTGCTGGCTCCAAAAAAGCCATCCCAGTCTTTGCTATAGGCACGATACTACGCGTCACAAATACCATCCCACAGTTTCTTCTTCCCCTCATTGCTTAGGATAACTTCCTGGCGCCACGCTAGCGCTATCTTAGCGCCCACAAGGCAAAGACTAAACCAGCAAAAACGAAATGCTGACATCGCCACTCCATTATGTTTTGCATACATGAAATTCTACTTCCTTCCATGGGCTTTCGGAGTTGGCACAATGCCTTCCCGGTGTGGCGATGATCGATATCCAGGATCCAGGCACGTAGCAGGCTCCCCCACCGCTGCCGCAGAACTTGAACCAAGTGATGTTTGCCTGTGCGCATTTCTAGTCTTCGGCCTTTCTTCAAAAGCATTGCAGACTCCGGAATTGTAGACCATGCGAGTGCAGGTCCCCAAAAAAACAGTACACATCTCTCAGAATGCCCCACAAGGACGTGCTTCACAGGTCCAGGGCCTTGGCTTCGGCTCAAGAAGAGTGGGTCCTGCGACCATGTTAAGGGCGTGGATACAGTGTGCACGAGTCTTAAAATTACGGGCCCCTTTTGCCTGCCCTGACACAGAAATGCTTGAACCAGTTGTTTGGGGGACATGGGGGATGCAACCTTTAATATGAAAAGAGGTAGACACTGGTTGCACGGGCTGTTTCTGCCTGATGGCTGGCGACTGCGTGCAAGCTCAGGACTGGCACATTTGTGAGGCTTCAGCAGTATAACATGGCTGCAAGACGCCATAATGGCGAGCGACAGCTGCAACTTAAAAGGAGAGGAAGGGAACCACAGACATCCATAGATGACAGATTCCCGGGCATTGACGTGCCCGTGCATCTGACGGAGGCCTCTTTGCGATTAGCATCAAGACCGGGAATCTCAAAAACTGGAAAACCTGCGGCCGACATGGCCGGCTCTGCTCACGACCAATACTTCGACTCACTTCTGCGTCTTCAGGGAATTGAGTTCTGCCTTCAGCTGATCAATCTCCCGCTGCTGGTTATCAATCTGGCGCTCGTCCTGTCGCTGCTGATTCTCCAGCATACGGTCAGTTGAGCTGGGCCCGCTGTGGTGGTTGCCATACATGGCATTATTGATGGCACCGCCAACAACGCTACCCACAATGACATCACCAACTGTTGGGGGCGGTGCAACGACAACGGGTGCTGGAGCAATGCCCATCCCAAAGCCAATTGATGGGGCCATGACCGGTGGTGCCACTACGGGCGGTGGCGCAATGACTGTGGTCTTGTTGATCACCGTGGTATTGCTGCTGCTGGCAGCTGCTGGTGCTCGAGGAGGTGCACGGGGTGGAGGGCGCCGGGCAGCGCCGGCGGAGCCACCAATGCGCCCTCCCGACCGAGCAGCTTGTGCCTCCTGGACCGGCAGCAAGGCGAAGGCCACCGCAGCCAACATCGCGAGCAGAGCGCTGCCAACACGCGCAGATGATGCTGGCTGCTCCGGCTCCTGCCCTGCCGCCTGACCTGTCACTTCACGGTGCTTGTGCGTAGCTCGCAGGCCTGTCCTGCCTATAGACGGCACTGGCACTGGGCCAACAAAGGCCAGCGCCAAGCTGCCTGCAGCGAGCAAGGACAAAACGAGGCAGCGCGTCATCGATTTCAGCACGGCAGTTGCGAAAGCCCTCCCCTTGGAGCTTGATCCGAAACTACCTGCAGTATTGCTGCAGTACTTGCTGTAGCGACGCCCTCAAAAACCAAGCGGTCAAAGGAACGTCGTGAAAAGAAACACTGCAGTGCTAACAGTATTGGCAGAACCCCCGAGACATGTGCATCCCTACCGGCTGTTTTCAAGATACTGTATGCAGCATAACATGTCCAGCAGGGTCAGACCTGGACGTCCAAGGTCAAACCCTCAGCCTCCATCCTTGGCAAAGACATTCCGCAAATGTCCGATGGCACACAAAGAAAGCCCACCAAAGCAGACTAGGAGCAGAAAGCACTCTTCCTGATTTGCCCTCTTCACGCAAAACCAACCCTGGGAGCTGTCAGGAACTCTTCAGACGACCCTACCAGCCACTCCTGCGTTCAAATGATGCCCAGCGTCTGCCATGCCTGTCGCTCAACCAGACCGCCAGCAGGACATCGTGAAAAGGATAGCTGGTTTGCGTCTTGAGTTTAGAGAAACATGTCCATGAACGACCATGTGTCATGGTCAGAAATTTGTGAAACATAATACAACCTTAATACGCGACGATGTCTAAACTTTGAGACACAAGCAACCAGTGCCCAGGACGTGCTGCTAGCGGTGCGCGATGTGGCAGGATACAGTTACAGCTGCACATGGGTGACTGTCACATCACCATTGTAAGCATGGCAATGAAGCGAGCCCACCGCAGCACTAGCACACGACATTTAGCCGTCACGATGGAGGTGCGAACTGAGCGTGGCAACACCTCCAAGCCCAAATCTTGTCTTCTCTGCAGCGCAGAAGGCAAGCATGACTGGTGCAACCTTGTTAAAACCGCAACTGCTGTTTGCAGGCGTCAAGCCTCGCTTTCAGGACTAGTGAAACGACGGTGCAACACATCCATCGATTTGTGGAAACGCTCACCTGTCTGAGTCGTCTCGTAAGACGACCAAAACAAGATCATAGCAGGCTTCAGGGGATACCTCTCAAGTGGCTCATGGATGCTCATGGAAAAGGCTGCCGTGTGATCACTCCAGACGCATGACTATTGTGTCAATGTCGATTGATCTGCTGGAACTTGCAATGCTGAGGCACTCAACGCCCTCATGCATGCCTTGATAGCTACAGTTTAGCTATCAAGGAAATTTCTGCGGCTACCCTACCACTGAAGATCAGCTTCATCTCCACCTGAGCTGCCACAACTACAAGCATCGAAGTCAACTTTCTAGTTCTCTCATCATCATAGGCAATAGAGTCTGTCACAGGGGAATCCCGTGAAATTTGCATTGTCATAGCTGCGGTGCTGAACACTCCAAGATCGCTGCCCACTGGCCTCCCTGGGCCACGCGTAGCCCTGCGTTGCCTACGTGATACATGGACAAACTTGAGATAAGAAAGGAATTGCGTAGGAGTGCCCAGGCTTCAATGACATGTGACGATAATTGGCCATTGACTGTCTCTCCTAAAATGCATATGGACTGTACATGCAAATACAAATGCCACTTGACCAGATGATAAGCATACTGCATACATTCTTGGGAAATGGCTTCAGTAGATGGTGGCTTTAGGGCAATTTCTCAGCATCCTTCAGGGCTTTAAGAGGGGTTTGCGTTTCATTAGCGACGGGGGCCTGAGCGGAAGCAGGCTGCGGCTTGTCAGTGAAGAAGCCGAAAACCTTAAGCTCTTCATGCAACGAAGAATGGCACGAACAATCGTGATGAAGAAAACAGCTTGGATGCTGAAACACAACGATGACCGCCGCCAACACCGCCACCACCACCAACACCATCACCACCAACACCACCGCAACCACAACCACAACCACCACCATCACCCACACCACCCCGACAATGAGCGCGAGTCAAATGAAGGACAAAGAGGACTACTTGCGGTAGGAGTAACATTGCCGAAACTTTCTGTGCTTTGTGAAGCCACTACACACGAAAACAAATATAGCAATTGTCCTCATGAGCGTGTACACAAGAATGGTACAGCAAACAAGGACCCACGCAGAAAGCAATTGAGCTTGGGACTGACGTTTTCACGTTGTCGAAGAATTCGTACAGTGCCTGACCGCCATCATAGCCGCTGTCGGTGTTGTCCAGGTAACTTGGCAGTCAAAGTTGTACTTATACACGAACAACGCATGCATATATGCACGGATGTGTGCATGTGCGTGCGGTATGAAGATGCCTATCTACCTGCCTGTCTACTTGTATCTACGCATGCATGTATGCACGCAAGTGTGGCGTGATTTATGTATGAGATTGTATTAGTGCGTACGTGCGAACCCACTTCACTTCAATTTCACTACCACGTGCTGATACACGCGCTTACAAGACGTCGGCCCATGTTTGCACATCTTCTCTGGCGCCCTTCACACAGATACTCAGTGCAAGGCTCGAGGGTGTTAGCACCAGTCGAAGCCAAGGTGTTGATCCAAACAGGTAGTCTGGCAACACCTGCGCAGGAGGACTGGCCCCTCCCCTCCGAGCGCTGGGATCCCGTAGTGGTTGAACTGGGCACCGGAAATCAGGCATCAAAACCCTCCATATGAGAATGTAAATTGCAAGAGCTCTGTTGTGCGAAGACACCTTGTCATCAAGTGCGATTCGACTGCTTTCTACAATGTCTCACCTTTTATTGCGCTGAGCATCCTGGAAACTTGCGCCGCTCCAAAAAACCCTTCGGGTGGGCCAGCATGAAAATCGACACACACAGACTTTGAAGCAACGCCTCCCACAAGGATTTGCAGATGTGCAAGATTTGCTCACACAAGCTTCATTCATGTCACCACTGCAGCATAATGCAGACTTTGTCGCAAATCTGCCCACTTGTGAGAGGGATCAGCTCACATTAACTTGGCGCAATGCGCCTGAGACTGCCAAAGCTTGCACTCGGCGGAGTCAAGAGCTCAGGCTTCGTATCTGAAGCTGACTCTAGAAAAGATAAAGAAGACTTGCAACACTGGGTCTGTTACAGTAAACTGGTCGTCGTCTAGATGCCGAAGCATTTCTGCAGACATGCGAATGTGTGTTTCAACGCAGACCCTGAAAAGTTAACAACTAGCTCAGCTAATTAGTCTAGCATGTTTCGCTAGATCTGAGCTTTGCTCCTCATCCGCTTGCCATCTGGAAAGGCCCCGCAAGGCCCAGGTTCGGCAAACGCCCATCCTTCAGCACACATGCTGCATCAACGCAATGTGGGGTCAGAAACTTGCAAACATGTACATTCCTGACTAAGCATTGCCTCAATCTATCCCGTGCACCTCTGTCTTCGCCAGTTTCCTCCAGGGCTGCGCGCCCTCACTTGCATCGTACTCCTCCAGATCCACTTCACACAAGGCAGGTAAACAAGCGCTGAGCAAGAGCAGCAGGTCCTGGTAGATCCATCGTCTCACCAAGGAGTACAAAGGGGTTGCGTTACCCTCCTGGCGAAACAATGAGAAGGTAAAGGGCCTGGTCAACATGCGCGAAGCTCATTCATGACCTTACACTGAGAGGCCGTGGACCTTTTATGCAGGCACATACTAGATTCAGCAAACACTGCGAGGTAATTCCTTGCAGAGATCGTGATACTCTGTGACGTCGTCCATGGGGCAAAATTTCACCACCTCCGTTGCCATCACTCAGGGCTTCCACATATGCGTCACACAACAGGCAGCAGGCATGCTGAGGGTTTAGGCAGTCAGCACGAGCGTAAGGATTTGGCCATATGGCGTGATTCACAAGTTGGCCCCAATCGCCCAGCACTCAAATTTGAGATTTTAGGTTCTTCTGCTTCAAAACACAGCCAGCGCGACAAGATCAGCTCCGATCTCCTCCCTTTGATACAAAAGCGGGGTGTCATCAGTTTATGGAGGCAATGTGACTACTTCCCGTGTTGCAAGAATCAATCGTTTGTCTGAAGTTCTACAAAATGCTGCTGTGTTCCCTCGACCCCGAGAACCTTCCAGAATGTTGCGCATCTGAACACTCAATTACACCAATCAAGCCTGCAAACAGTACAAAACCTTCTTGTACTTCCTGTGAGCCCACTAATTCGACAAGCCTATACAAAGTGCCGCTTGCTGGGCCTCCCCCTGCGAGAGGTGGAGCAAGTGGCTGGCCCAGCCCTCTAGGTGGTCAAAGATATGAGTGCCTTGCTTTCCACAGGTTTGAGGCTAGGAAAAGGGACGCCCGGAGACTCTCAGTCCAGCCTAACCTGTCTCTTCTGTGTTAGGCTGATCGCAGGTAAGGAGCAGTAGAAAATGGTGGCACCGCGAACTTCACACTCTGCTCGGAGGAAGTTCAGTATACCCTCGCGAGCGTACAGATCCAGGTCTGAAGTGATTTCATCCATCAAGTACACCTGCGGTTTTGCTTGTTCTGAATGCATTGATGCTTGAAAGAAATGTGTAACATTTGCCCTGCGTGTACTTTTGTGCATCCCAGGTACCGATCGGGGAGTTGCTAAGCATTCCAGAAGCTGACAGCGACGGCGCATGCCTTGGTTGGACAGCCTGCTTGCTCTGACTGCTCATTGCGAAAGGTCTTGTTGAGTTCACATATTGCCAGTGTGGCACCATCGGAGACCTCATTGATCTTCCACTCCATGTCCACCTGCGCCATCTTTCGCCCGTATCACTTCTCGTGGGGTCCCAGCAACTTTTGGAAGCCTCTTCCATTTCATCAAACATTTCATTCGCCATTATCGGGGTAGCATTCCTAAATCCTATAGACGATCCCTGTATACCCCTTTAAGGGGACCTAGGGTTGCCATGTAATTGTCCATGCTCTCTTCCTTGTTGCTTCTCCATTAGTGGGAATTATCTCTACACACCCCTATGCCTAGGGCTTCCATTTCATTTTCCATGTTCTTTTCCATTTGATTCTCCATTACCGGAGATCATCTCCCTAAACCCGAAACACTAAATTGTAGTTTCCATTTTCGTTTCCAGTATCTGTATATTACTCTATATAGCCCCTCAAGAACCCTATGGGTCTATAAAAGAGACCTGCAGCACTTTGGCCAGGTGGTGGCAGCGATCGGATTTGGCGATGTCTCCCAGCAAAGCCCCGACAGTCAAGTTCCTTGATGGGGTTCTGGGCTTACGGTGAGTTAGTCATGGTAACGTATCATGAGGCTGCCAGATAAGAAAACACGCAAATCACGGAAACATTATTTGTACTTGAGCCGTGCTTCATGAAGAACTTGGTTCGCCACCAGTCACCACCTACCAGACATGAAATCTAGGCTGTGCAGCAGATCTTGCTGCAAAGCAAAAGGAGGCATTCCGCAACCAAGCGACAGTACATGATGTGCTGCGAGACGCCCCCGTCGTGGAAGCAATCTTTCGCCATGACGCTGGCATGCCCACGCGGGATCATCCTCTTTCCACCTTGGCTCCAACACCCCGCTTTTCTCAACGCTCGCAGCAGGCGAAAAGGACTTCTTCCAAGTTTTGCCTAGCTTCCAAGGATTGAGAGCAAGGTGGACTTGCCTGCTCCGTTTGCCCCAACCACGAGGATCCGAGCACCACGGCCAAAGTGAAAAGACACATTCTTGAGCTGAGGGCTACCACCCGCCTGCGGCGAAGCTTGCAGCTGAGAGATCAGCAAGGGGAGGAGGCTTCGCATCCTCTGTGCGGTCAAGGCACATACGAGTAGGTCAGATTCTTGGTTTCCAAGACTGACCCATCAATCTTTGCGACTTCTGGTCCAGTGGTGCTGCAGTCCTTCCAGCATGCACAAGGAAGGCCTACATCATTTTCATGACTGCCACCACTGCCTGCTCCATTCCACCATAGCTCCGAGATATCCAATCCTTCCTCAGCACGAGGCCCAGGAAACAAAGGCCAACGTTGCCAATTCTGGAAAACTTTGAAGTGCCCTCCAAGCATCATGAGCGCATACAGTGGACACCGGGTGCCTTTAGCCACAAGAGCATGGTACTCTGCCAGCTCCTTGGCCGCATAACTGTTAGCTCTGGAACTCTTCTTGCCCATCATCTCACCATGCTGTTGCCAAGCTACAGCGAGGGGACAGCAGCATTCAATCTTGCCTTGTGAGAAGTAGAGCACATGGGTAGCCCACTCTGCTAGGTGGTCGAAGATGTGGGTCGCATAGAAGATGGTCCTGATTTTGGCACGGGCTTCGCAAAGCTGCTGCCCAGTCCCACAGACAAACGGCCCATGACACTCCCCGTTGACCCTGTGAGAAGGCATGAACTGTGGTAGGCCCCTAGCCCTAGCATTTCCAATCTAAATTTCTGCCGGGAAACGCACCTTTCTCCTCAGATTCCCTGCGCAGGAATCGCAAGAGGCCCTCGCGCGCAAAGAGGTCCAGGTCCTATGAGATCTTGTTTTGACCCAAGCACTCACGCCTGCACTTGGCTGCACAAAACTCGTCGCACTGATTTGACTTGGGGTACTTTGTGGCACAAAAGTCCGTCGTAATCTCATCCAGGATGTAGACCTGCCAGACAACACCAATCAACTCTGAATCACAACTGCTTGACAAGGAATGGACTTGGAAATTGCGCGCGCGCAAAACAAAGTCAACAGACCCTTCGCCGATGCAATGGCCCTGCTCACTCGACGCGCCTTCTTCTCCTCCGCCAGGCATTCCAGCAGTTGGCACCTGATGCTTTCAAGCTCTTGCTTTGGCAAAAGACGGTTTGCATGGGCATGAGTACGGTCAACGTATGCGCCTACGTCTCTGGCCGTCGCTGATGGCATTGATGTACCATGAGGTGTTGATCTGCCTAGGCTTCCAGTGAAGGCAGGATGGGGTCACGTCTGTGCATTGCATGCGTTCAGTTCAAGCACTGTTCGAGTCAAGACACATGATGTCGATCAACTCCTGAACACGCGGCGTGTTGAGAAGCTTGTCCCCAATGAGCTCGGCCACTGTGATGTTGAAGAAGAAGTCAGTTCGCCACCAATCACCACCTCCAGCAGGAGCATGACACTGCAGTATTCCAGAAGAGTTACGGCTGCCGAAGTCCAGCTGAGCTTAAAGCAGTACATGCGCTCCCGGTTAAGCGTTGAATCATGGAACACCGGCTTGCCCAAGATCTTGCAATCCTGAGTCCGGCAGCAGGCTGTGACTGTGCGGCTGACTTCAATTGAAATCCCAAGCGACGTCTACTCATAGGCTTCTGACATTTCTGGGGATCATCTTCTTCCCGCCCATGATCGACAGAAGGGTAGACTTCCCAGCACCATTGCCTGGCTGTCAGGAAGCGCTCCAACAAGGCTGTATCAAGGCGTGGCAAGGCGTAGCAAGGCGGCATTTCTTGGCCCGGCCTCCCACAACAAGTACTCGGCAGCCTTCCTCAAAGGCACAGTCGACATCAATCAGCTTCCTTGATCCGCCGGCAACGCTACATGGAGAGGCAGACTCAGGCGAAAATGTTCATAGCCATTATGACTGCTGCGCAGGTGACATTCCCTCACCAGACTCACCTCTTGTGCCAAAGCTCGGCTCACTGAGAGCTCTGTCGTGGATGGTGGCTCCTCCACCATAGCCTCACATTGATAGTTGTACGCCCTTTTTCTCAATATTCTGAGTTGCACCAAGTGTCAGTAGGATAGCTTCTCGCATTGCATGGCCCACCGAGCCTCATCCGCCACAGTCTTACACAGGAACTCCAATCTTCTGCCGCACCTTTGCGTCCACCATCGTGATGTCTGCCGGGTATCCCGACTTGAAGGAACCCATGGGACCTCAGAAGCTCTCCATCAACTCAAAGAACGGAATCCTGCGAGTCTTGGTACGCAGCTGAGAAGTTTCTGCTTGTATTGGACGATGAGGCAAAAATATCTTGAGCCAAATAAAAATTGTTCACCAGAGATCACAGCTCAACCAGTCGCAGATCATGCCAGACCTTCAAAAACGGCGAGCTTTTCTGAAGTCATTGCTTGGAGCAAGAGCTCCCTCAAGCTTCAGTCCGTTGCTGCTCACAGTGTGCAAGAAGAACTCGAGAACCATGTCCCTGCCTGCAGTTGCTGGCATGCATCAAGTACGCATCGCGTAATCCATCTACGCATCGATGGAGCTCAAGCCTCAGGATTGCTTGTCGGTCTTTGTCCAAGCTGCCACTTACAGGCCAACACCCGCCAGAGTCGCCTGCACTGAGCTACTGGCGTCTTCAAAAGGAAAGCGCAGATCATTCAACATAGTTTCAACCGTAATGACGTAATGTTGGTATGCACGTGGCTTCTCCAGGTCAAACGGCAAGCAGACAGAACGCTCATGAAGCTCATGCACTTTGCACGTGCGCAACTGGCTGATCAACTTCGTTACACAGTGGCACCCACCAATGATGGCACTCGCCTTCACGAAGCTGTCTTTCCTCTTGATGATCTCGGGCTCTGAGGCTGAAATCTTCGAATCCATCTCTGCGGTGAGCTTCACCTGCTCAACTTGACCGCCCCGAGACATGCCACCACTCAGCATGGGCAATCAAGCGAGGCCCTAGTCTAGAAACAACCATGTGCTCTGCCATCACAGAAGCTGGCCTTGACCTCAGCAGCTTTCTTTTCACGTGCGTCTGCTGCAGCTGTCATCCTCAGCCCGGAAAGCTACAGGAGCTGAAGAACCCTGAGCATTGCAAGCACTTGCAGTTGTCTGATGCCGCGTGTCTGGGACTGGATGAGAGACTCAGTCTTGGAGCGAGCATCTGCCAACTCCTGGCGCAAGTATCATAAGACAGCAGCGCAAGCATGCCAGTCTGTCCTTGGCGGCTTTCTCGCGGGCCTCCTTGATTTCAGCCGTGTACTGCACCTCGTGTGTGAAAGAGAAAGGTAAACCGGAGCAGAGCCCTCTAAGAATCTAAAATGTTTTGGTTGTTCCACCTATAGCACCATACCGCGAATCCTTCAAGAAGCTCGGGAACTGTACTCAGGTACTTCGGGAAGAAAAGAAATCTGGAAAGCTGACTCGGCACCTGCATCTCGTCAGCTTCTGCCAACATGTCTGTGGCCTCCGAGAGCGTCTGCAACAGTTTGGCGTTGCGCTCTTCCACCTGCACAGCTTCTTCTGACCAACTTCATGGACGACAGCCGCGAGCAATCAGTAAAGCGGCACTGTGCAGGTGTCGTGCGTTGCAGTACGCAGAGTGTGGCCGACCTCCTCCGAGACTGGAGCATAGAACAAGGCATTGAGAACCTGAGCTTCACACAGGTGGCGAAGTGCAACGCACATGACGGCGTCTCTGCTGCGCAAAATCCCGGTCAAGGGCCGGTTCCATACTGGAAAGCATGGTGTAAGCACTGCACTGCCATCAAGAGAAGGAATGACCCAGCCACGAAGGGCAACGTCAGCCCAAAGTCAAACATGCCTGCATCGGCCATGAAATCGCCCGGCTGCAGTTATGGGAGTAGAGATGCTCATCAATTGAACGAGAGCACACAGCCAGCACACCTTCGTGGCTGTCATGGACTAGCAACTAACAGCACCCTAGGAAGCTCGGGTCGGCCTCCTGCATAAGCAGGCAAGGGGGCAGCGGCCAGCAGGGCAGCGCCAGCCGCTGCGGCATGCGGAGGCGCCTATGCTTTCCCTCCCTCTTGGGAACTTCTGAAGGCAAAGCTCCTGTCCTACCCCTCCTACTCTCTCATGCAGACTTGCTTTCAGCAGCTGTCGTCTATAGGCGAGGCAGGCTAATGCCCTTGGAGATGGACCATAACCATACACACCACTCAACTTAATCAGCGGGCTGCGCGAGAACAACCACGGATCTGCATGTTCTGTACGAGATTCTGTCCCGATCCCTGAACACGTGAAAACTTATTGTAGGAAACCCCCAAAACGACCTCCTGGCACAATATACTTGAACCAATCATGTGCGCTACTTTCTGCTGTTGTTACCAGGAACGAAAAGCAGCAAAAGCCCGGAAAAAAAAATGATGTAAATAAAAACAAATCAACGGCTGCATCTGCCTGGTTGATGCCAGATGCGCGCGGGGCTACAAAGCCAAGTTCCATGCTGCCCAGGAGGGCCAACCTCGAAAAAGTGAGAAACTAGGAATTGCATCAATGAAATGAAAAGCTTTGCATTGTGCCAATCTCTGCAGACGGGCAACAGGCCCGTGGCCAAAGTGGCTATCGCCAACAAGCTGCTGCGGGATTTGGCCTCAGCTGTTCGTCCTGTAATTGGAACCCAACGGGTGACTTAAGCGCTCCTTCTGAGAGTTGTGGATTCAAGCTCGTTCAGGTTCTACCCTGAGGCCCTGATCCATTTCTGCACTGGAGCCAGCGGAAAAATCCTTTGCGTCCACTCTGAGCAAAGGCTGCGGGGCGCGAAGATTGTTAGAGCAGACGACAGCAATCTTAAAGACCTAGACCCCAGGAAATACAAAACCATATGGAGGAGACACCTACATGAGAACGCGTCTCTGGAAGTGAAGAAAGTCAAAACTGTTGCCAGCACATGTCCACATCTGTCCCAACTCTGGAGCACTCATTACTTTAGAATGTCAGGCAAAAAGCGGCGGCGCGTACCCAAACGAGCGCAAAACCTGCCGATTTGATCCGGCCCGTCTGACATTCAAGCTGAATAGCACACCCTCTTGCAGCACTGAGACAATGGCGCATCTGAAAAGTGATGGCAATTCTTTGTCAATACCTTGGCATATCACGTGCCTGCCCTTGGTTAAGCAATTCTACGAAGAGACGCCGCTCAAGCGGCACATGCAACACAGCAGGCGCATGCAAAGGTTCAGCTCAGAAAGCCACATGATAGTCGCGACCCTTCCACTCCCGCTCCATTTCCTTAGCTGGGAAACTTGTCTGTTAGAAGGATGCCGTGTGAGTCCCGAGACAAGCACTTCAAGAATTTTGCGAACTTCTGTCGGTGAGAAGCGCGTGTAGCCTCAGTCTCTGGTTAGAATGTATGGTTGGGCATCCACTCTGGCAACGTCAACAAGGCTCTGGCCCATGGAAAGGGTCTCTCGGAAGGCGTGATCCAAGTTCTTGCCAGGCTCGTTACACGTGATTCCAGGCCTAAGCATTAACATGAAACTGATGACAAATAGACCACCCTACACCAACATGCCAAGCCTGAAGGCAGACCATCCCATTGAGGTGCTCACGCGTACTTGTCGATGCACATGCCGAAGCTCCACTCCTTTCCGTACACCTGCATAGAGGCCAGCAGGCTGGCTCATGCCAGCAAGTACCGACGTCTCAACTCAAACTTTTGTGCCCGCAGCAATGAAGTCCTCATCTATGTACACGCCACAGGCTCTCGCAAGTGCATTTTGCACTGGATGGCCTGGTGTTTGCAGCGATTCGACTGCTTCGTCTGCACGGCCAAGCTCTGCAAGTACCATGCCTGCAGCTGCGGAGCCAGCACTGTCGAGACCCGACAGCTTTCCAAAAACCACGAGAGCTCGCAGACTCCTGGAAAAGCCCTCAGCATCCCCCAGGTCCCCATATGCTGCCAGTAAGGGGCCCAGGCTTGCAGACGCCAGGGATGCGCAATCCCCACGCTGCCCCTGCTGTGCAAACAAAGCATCAATGAATGTCCAACAATGATCCAAGCGGCCACAACGCACGAGCGATAAGCTCAGCATTCCTGCTTCTGCGGCAGTAAAGCCATCAGCTAAACTGCAACTTAGCCTTGCAGTCTCGTCAATCAAAAGCACCCCGCCCCCAGCCGAGGAAGATGAAAGCCGTGCCGTGGATGCTAGACTCTGCGGTTGCCACTCTGCTTCAAAATGGACAAGGAGCAGCTCCAGACGCTTGCAGATGCTGCCAGCTGCGGCAGCAGCATCTACAACCAGGGTTACAGAAGCCCAGGACATGCCTGCAATGCCTCGCACATCCATACACGGAACAGCTCTCAGGCCAGCCTCCCTTAGTGCAACGAGGAGCTGCTCGTCTTGCACACCAGGTACGGCAAACGTCCAAGCAACGGAGGCCAGTTCTTGCGGTGCAAAGTGCACGTTGAGAACCACCGTAGCGTGCATGAGGACTTCTGCAAGCAGGCGGCCCAGGTGCCGCAGCGTGCCGACAGACCACCCGATGTTGGCAGCCTCTACTGGCCCACATGTCTGAGGACTGGCCACGAAACTGGCGCCAGGCTTCTGCACTGGCAGCTGGCCAATAGACTCAACAGTAGCAGGCCACCAGAAAATGCTTGCTAAGCTTTGCCCCTCCAATTGCCTCTTGACTGCAGCAGTCCCTAGTGTATGAAACATTGAAAGGTCTGGTGAAGCCATGATAGCCGGCCCCCACAGTGTGTTGGATGTCTCCTGAGGCCCAGGCAAATGCAACTTTTGTCCAGCCTGGTCCAAGAGGATGCTGGCTTCTGGCATGTTTCCAGTCGCCATACGACCAAAGGCCCACATTATGCTGGATGACTCAAGAGCATTGAGCTCAGTGGCTAACTGGAGGGCTGCCTCGCTGTGGCTTGGGCACATGTTCAGCTAGGCTACCGCAGGCCCTCAAGTCGCACTAGCAAGATGCCGTGGCTGCATCTTCATGTAAAGCTGTTGGTATGTCGACGTCAGCCCGTGAAGCACCAACATCTGTTGAACTTTTGGGACAGCACGTGTCTGTAACGCGTTCGCCAAAGCCTGCGGGTTGCTGGTACCAGCCACCCGCTGAGCCATCGATGCAGCCAGCAGCTGGCTTTAATGAAGCAGCGTAGCAAAAGCCCAGAGCATGCCTGACAGCTCTCGGGCCTAAAGCTTCTCATGGTTGATGCGTCTCGTCGTCTGGGATGCAGCTAAAACCAGCAGCGAAGCTCCCATGCGGGCCGAAGCGGCCAAGGACCATGCCGTGTTGGCCAAGTGCTACCGCTCGAGTTCTGACAGCCGCAAGCTTGCCTGCCGCTTCGAGGAATGCATGAAGAAAGGGTGAAAAACTTACGCGGTTGCAGAGTCTCGGACTCTGTTCGACAGCTCTTGGGGCGCAAGTTCTGTCACAGTCATCTCTGCTTGGTATGCCAACGCCCTCATCAATGCCCCCCTCACACAGCCTGCACGACTATAGCTTCACCCTGTATTGGACACATCCTGTGGACGAGGTTCTGCCAAAACTCTGATGCCAGCAACTTCGGTGGCTTCAAAGAGCCGACTGTGAAAGGAATTCGATTTTGTGGAGGACCGTGAAATTATCGCAAGGTCTCGTGGCATCAAGTCTTTCTGAAGCGCAGCTTCACCAGTGGCGTTGAGCACAGGCCAGCGAAGACAACCGCTACGGGCTGAAGACCAAGCTGTAGTTCTCAACTGCTGCGGCTTCCTGGTTGCAAACACTTCACGAGCCAAAATTCTACAAATCATCAAAAAGCATCAAAAACCTTTACAGATTTTACAGTGCAGTAGCAAGCCGAGCTTCATGTGCTCAATCAACGACGTCGACACGTTCCCAGCCGCCACGGCTTTGTCTGAGGCAGCTGCAGCTGCAGCTCTACCATGAAGGCGTGTCCAGCTGCCATCCCCGCAAGGCCCAAGGAAGGCCCATCGCAGAGTCTGAAATCTCACATGGCTCCTGTAGGCTTGGCCGATCTACATTTCGCACTTTTTAACCTGAACCAGAATGCTTAAGACTTCAGGGCATCACACCAGAGACAGTAAGCCCAAGAGGGCTTCGTTCATGTCCTGTCTGCCGCAAGCTGGCTTCTGCTGGAGGCCTCGACCCCCGTATGAAAGGCCCCATAGTTCTTTGTGAGCTGGTTGTGGAATCTGGTCCAAACAGTCCTCAACTCTGAGAAGTTGCAAAACATCTCATTCTCTAAGTTGGAAATCAAGGCTGCGGCTGGCCAAGGTCATAAACACGGACCTGCACAAGGGTGCTGATTGCAAAGCCTCTGTTGTGTTTTGAGCTTCTGCATTTCTTCTGGGGTCCACGCCAAGACCCTTTCTCTATACACCCTTTGCACCCCCGGCAAGGACCTCCAGGCATGAACCAAGATTTTCTGGCATGCGGACTGCACATCATATTTGGCCTGCCTGGGCGCTGCGCTGGACAAAGCCTGGCAAGGCAGAGCAGCCCAGACTAGAGGAGCACGCAGCAAGTGGAGCGTATTGCAAGCCTCCGTGAGGAACGGATCCTCAGGTCCACCTGCTAAGAGCAACGCCTTTAAGACTCCAAACACCTAGACCTAGTCCTCCGTGCAACTCCACACCAAAAGGGCATGCCGCAACTTGGACAAGGGAAGGAGAAGTGAACCCTCCTTTGCCTCTGGCTTCCGTGGCCTCCAAACATGAAAGCAGCACAAGCGAAAGGAAAAAGTAATGCAAACTGCCACTCTGATCAGTCTGATCATGTAGCGGGAGATCCAGCACTGTGCTTTTGCAATAGCTTGAACATGCACCAAGCAGGAAACCCTACGGCTTCCAGCATCGGCCCGATTCGGGATAAGGTCATGAATTCCAAAAAACTATCTCGAATTCTCTACTCCAGAAGAGAGACGTGACATCCCCTCCTTGGATCAGCAAACGCAGAGTCACAATCCTATCCGTAATGCAGGGTATGTGAGTAGCCTTTCTTGCAGTCAAAGCGACACTGGCACAAGGGAGCGGTAGGAAAAAGCTGGTCGGGTGATAGCCCGCGCCGGCCAAGCTGCCCAGCTATGGCACTCAACATGCTGCCGAACTTTTCACGGAAAGCCTCCTGAGCAGAAGCGTGACACCACTGGTCTGACTTCAGGCCCATCCCATATGATTCCACAAGAGGCATGCTTGCTTGAACCAAGTAGCAAAAGCCTGCGTCAGCTCTGGGGCATAGATCTGCTTGCAGCAGTGAGGGTCCAGTGTCAGCAGCACATCCTCGCCGGAAAGGGGCACGTAAGCATACCGGGATGTGGGGGTACAAATTCCTTGGGGTCCACGGACTTCAGGTCCACTCCCGCTGCGGCCAACGATCCAGCAAGCTCTTCTGCCGACAGAGCCTCCCCAAGCAGCAAAGACCACCATGTGACCGAAGCATCGCTTACAATGATGTCTAGCAATCCCAGTGCATCACCACCCTGCTGTTCAACTAGGCTGACCGGCGATGACCGAGAGCATCGTCCTTTCCAGCGAGTGTGAGATTGCAATCCATCTCTGCCTGGTTTGGTCGCAGCAGCGCGAAGCTCAGAACCTTGCGACGAGGACACAACCCTTCCCGTCGGGTTTGCCAGGGTGGACACATTCCTAGCAGAAAGCGAGAATTTGACCAGTCAGGGGTTCTAGCAACCAAAACAAAAACTGACTACTGCAAATAGCAAAACCAACCGTAAGATGCCATAAGGATAGCAAGGCTTTTGATGAAAACCATCTGAGCAACCACTTGCAAGTCCACGCCCGCCACCAAGCATGCTCGCAACAGGTGGTCGAGGTGGCTTTGGACCAATGCACGTGCTTGCCGTAGCAGCGACAGAAACCTGGAATGCAACATGCCGACTGTGTACAAAGTCGTTTGAGTTGGCCACAGACGCGCATGAAGCCTCCAGCTTGGATCCAGCAACCCGCGGTACGTCATCGGTGCCGGAGCATCTTTTCCCCTCGATATCCAGACTGCTGCAGACAAAGACTCCTTCGCCCCGAGGACAGCTGGCACTTGCGTGGCACGACGCCAGCTACGATCAACTGTCATAATAACCAAGCCATGTCTTCAACATGTTCAAACAAGCACAATGAAACCTGCCACTCCAGGATCGGTGCTGCCACCTGCGGAGAAAGCCGCAAATCTGACAGGACTTCCTGCAGTTCCAAGCCAAGCAAGAATTGCAAGAGGAGCGGCAGCGGCAGCGGCAGCAATAGCAATTTAATGCCCACCCACGCACATGAGAGCATGGAGAAGCACCAAAGCGCTCTAAACATGTTCAGCGCATCCATGATGCAGAGCAATAGGGCCTCATTATTAGCCAAGTACCTGTCAGAAGGAAACATTGCTTGCAACAGCAAACTTCGAAGGCTATCAGAACAAGTCCCCGCATTGACGGATGTTACCCCCTCCCATGTCCTCGAGTCCAGCGACGCTGACCTGACAGGAGCTTTGATTGTGGTACCTAGTACTATAGTACTAGGAACGCACCAGGCAGAACTAAATGTCATACGATGGCCTCCTGGTCTAGATCGAGCCCAAGCCGTTGCAGTGAAGCAGCCACGGCTGCCAGACGATTCAACGGTTCTGTTGGACCACTGTGGTCCACTAGCCTGGAGGTGTCGCCATCACAAGAACAAAACAACTCCTTTCCGGAGAGGGTTTGGGGCCAGGGTGCTCAAGTGTCGCCCGGATATCCTGTCGAAATGCATCGATCTGCAGGCTGGCCTTGAGAGAGCACATCTATGACGCACTATTGCCAACTGTAGCCAATGCACTGGCGACACATTTTCAGAATGTCAAAGGTGCCTCCGGTGGCAAGCGTTGTCCACGCAGCTGGTCCACACGTTGCAGGTAGCGCCGAAAGTTGCGGTACGTCAGTGCCCCTTAGACGTTCCACGCACTCTTCTACAAGCTGGGGAGGACATCAAAGCTGTGCAAATATCGATTGGAGGTCGTTCTGTGCTCCGCACCTACCCGATGCTGATCACAGAATCCATACGTGGCAGCTGCTGCATCTGCACCTGCAGTTTGCAAGGTCGAAGTTGATTGGGCTGAAAACTTGAATCCAGACATGGACCTTCATTAGATGAAAGATGAACAAGTTGCAGCTTGCGCAGGCAAAGCCATCTCGCTACCAAGGTTGCTGCAGACAAGGAGCTTAGACCTAAGCACCTCTGTGCTACGCAGAGCCACGTCTCTGGTGCAACACGGCCAGAACCCTCTGGGTCCAGCAATGCATAGAGTAGGAATGCTGGCAGCAAGAAGCACCTGCGGCACTATAGCCCAGCGGAAGATCCACATGCACGACGACGTAGCAATAAATGTGCTGCGAACCAACTAGTGCCTTTCTGCTCGAGCGCCCTGTGGCAGCAGCCTAAGGAGAAGCCATCTCGTTCTACACCACATCACTCAAGGAGTAGACAGCAAAGTAACAAGGCTTCCCAGGCTGAAGATGCTGAAGGTGCTGAAGGAGCAGGAGCTTGAGGCGCAGGAACCCGATAGGATTGCCAGGCAGCAAAACGCCTCCCAGTGAGAAAGCCTAAGGCAGCGTCAAGGGGGCTGCAGGCTGGGACCTGCGGAAGTCCAGCAAATCCACTTGGCCCTCATCCTTCTGGGAGAGCTGCTCTGCCAAATAGAGCGCATCCTCTCTTTTACACAATTCAACGATACCCGTGCTCGGAAAAAATGCAGCACTTAGCCGCCTCTGCCAGAGGAAGTCCGAGGTGATTCAGAAGAGCGACCATGTCGGTAACTTCCACTAAACCATCGCCTTGAACAGCCGACTGAAATTTGCTGAGCACATGATGCTGCTGCAGCTTGCTTTCTGAGGGCTTGTCGATTTGTGTCAAGAACAGTGAAAGCTTTGTTCACCTCTACTCCCGACGCTTGTACCTGCCACGTGTAGACACATGCATGGCACGCAAGAGGGAGCAAAGATACTGCTTGTTTACTGTAGGCTTGCAGCAGTCGCGGGCTCACCACTTCAAACAGGCGCTGCTGCAGGAGACTCATCAGCTCTTCCCTTGCAGGCAGCTTGACTGCTTCAACATTCTTCTACAGCTCGACGGTCTCAACCTCGTCTCCCTCGCGCACGGATCAGTGTGTCCAGGCACTGCATCCAAGACCGGCCTGTGGCTTCCGCACCGTGCTCTTGGACAGACCATGCTGGCAACAAAGAAGCACGAGAAACAACGATTCGCCTGCGCTCGCCCCTTCTTTGTGGCACTCGAGCATCGGCCTGCGGCCTTGGCAGCCCCAAGATGCCCCAAGTCAGTTGTAGCACCACGTGCCCACTTGAAGAATCTCTGGGCGACACGCTCGGCTGTCAGAAGCTTCGCTAGGTCAGTGCGCCACAGCGGAGAGCTTTGTGAGGCAAGCTGCCTGGCGGTGTCACGTCTTCGAACTTTGAACTGCAAAGTTCACCAAAACGTAAAGATGAACTTCCACTTCAGGCAGGGCTGTGATTCTGGACGTACATCGTAGTCCCTATTCTCTTGAAGAACGCCAAGGTGCGCAGCAAGCTCAGCCATGGCCTCGTCCGAGAGGGCTTCCTGGCGCGGCCCGGGGCCGATCTCGAAGTCCACGGTGCCACCGTCCACCCCTTTTGAAAAGACAAGGGCTGTGGCCCGGGAAGTTAACTAGCTGAGCATTAGGCATTCCCGCATTCCTCGAAAAAGAAATTAAAACCAGCAGGCGGATTGAAGATGGCGTACTGTGCGTGAAGCCAGGCTGCTAATGATGCCGATGCGCTCCGATGAAATCTGCAAGGCTTCTGCGAGATTGATGGAGAACAGGTGCCGGAACCACGTTGCAACCTGATGGGCTGACAAATGCTGGCAACGCATGACACTCACCAGGCCCCTGCCAAGGGCATCAAAGAGAATGGTAGGCTAAGTAGGCGAGTGGTAGTCTTTAGACATGTCAAGATACGTCTCTGTCTGATAGCGATGCGGAAAGCTCGAGGCTTCCTTGCGCAGAGTTCCCGGGAGGAGCCGACCTCTGCCTATCCGGCTCCTCCACGTCAGGGTCAGCCTGACAAAGAATCTCATCACATCAAACCGAGCAATTAGTTTCCCTCGCCTCCACTGAGGCGCTCTTCCTGGGCAATGATGCAATGACTCCATCAGCTTGATACACTTCTGCACGGCGTGACTTGCCCAGGAGCGCCTCTGGGAAGCAAACTCTCCCAGGATCTTTACCCGGAGGCTCCCGATCGTCTCGCCGCTGGAGGTGGCTTGCACTGAAAGCTCGTCGGACATCAGTTCAATACCTGCAAGCTCAGTTCCAAAGTACAGCAAAGTGATTGCTTGCTACAAGTAGAACCCAAGAACTTTCCATGGTCTCGGTCGCTGACCAGGTGGGCACGTGTTATTTTGAGTTTGTCAGCATACAAATGATAGAAGTGACGAGCCTAACCCATCACTGGGGGTTCGGCAGGGACGCCCCGGAAGTGAGAGCCCGCGCATTGCTTCTTCAGATAGAAGGGGAACCTGGAGACCTCAACATTCGCACAACCCTCGAGATCCCTCGGGCAGACTTCATCAAGTCACATCAATGTGAATGATCAGAAGTGGCCCAATGGAAAGCCTTGCCACCTGCAAGACCCAGCAGTTCTTGCCCGCGCCAGACTTGGAAGAATAGCTTCTCCTCAGCCACGTGCTTGCTCATGCAACCTGGCGCAGCACCATCCTTTCGAAGTGACACCCTTTGACGCCACTAATACCAAGAGGCAGGAAGGGGACCGGACATCAGGATCTTCCGCGGAATGTCGAAGCCTCAGGATGCTTCGTCTTTCGAGATGCGGCGGCGGTGTGGGGCATGCCCGAGAAGACAGAACGACATCTGGATCGCACATCTGAAGCCAAACGAAACCGAGTCTCTCCAAGCGATATGCTCTGCCACGGCCATGAAACCAAGGCGACCTATTAGCTCGCCTCCCACAACCTCAGCCAACTCTGCTCGCAAAGGAGTATTCCGCAGTGCAGGTTCACCGTGGCAAGATGTTGTTCCTCTGCGCCGACCAGGCACCTGCTGATCGTGTTTGGACAGGTGCGCAACAACCTCCTGCTCTGGACCAAGCTTGACGACCACGAAGACAGCGCTCAAAGATGGCAGCCGGAGCAGGAGATCTTCAAGCCAAACCTGTTACAAATCACAGGCTCAACCACCCGGTAATGCACAAATGCACCTCCAAACGATGTCTTCAAGACATCAGCAACTGCACAACATGTGCTATGTTGATGTGGAGCCCGGCCTTGAGGTGAACTCCGGCAGGTTCAAGAGCCCCGTCCATAAGGCTCTCTTGCACTTCTTCTGAAGTTGGGGTCAACGCCACCTTGCATAAAGCTGCACACCGCAGGACTGTACGAAACAGGTGTGCCTTAAGGGTTCTTTGCCACGGTGTGTGTGGCTCCACTTTTGTCCCTTTACGTTCCTTTGTTTCAAAACACACAACTTGCATGATCAAGCAGCACTGGTGTGGTAGTGGTGTGATGAGTTCGGCGAGCAGCGTGCATATTTGACAGAGACTATAACAGGCTATCATCTTGCAGAACCTCAAACTTGATCGAGGTGCAGAAATGCTGCCAACCAATCTGGGGCTTTCATGCGGCCTCAGTTTGGCATGATATTAGACTGGTCCGCAGCACCCGCAGCTTGCTGCCAAGCTGGGGCTGATCAAAAAATACCTCCAGAATTTGGATCAAATTATAACTGGCCTTGCTTGCACTAATTTGGCAAGGCTGCTGGTGGCTTGACAAACGCTCACCACTACGTTGGCAAGAGTCTTTGAGTACATCTCCTGGCTAGAAACCATTAGACACGGATGTTCTCCTGAAAGGTTCCCGGCTCTCTCCGGGCTAGGGGCGATTCCAACATGGTGTAGGTAAACCTTCTTGCCTTGCTGCGGATTTTGAAGGCCGTTCGAATCTGGCTCAGATTGCAAGCCCCGCAAAGCATGAGGAAATGGAAATATAAGGCCAAGCGACCCTGAGGAAGCTTGCAAGGGGACTTCCAAGCGCTGGTGGCCTGTTTGTATGGCCTTCAGTGTGACAATCTCTCAATCTACCACCTGATGCATTCATGGCAGCCTAGTAGCCTGCGGCGGCAATTCCGCTGTAGCCATAACGACTAGGTGCGAGGAGAAGGGCTCTTGCAAAGTCCTTGGCTCAGCTGCGTCGAAATCATTCGAAATCCATAGCCTAAACCGGTGGCTAGAGCCCATGAGAGTGGGGTCTTGCAACTGCTGCCAACATGTGTAACAAAGCAAAGCCGGCATGTCAAATCTTGGAGTAGAGCCGCTCACAGCTCCTGTTTTTTTTACAACACGCATGTGGGTTTCGACCTGCAGAGATTCTCAGATCCAGAAGTGCGACCGGATGCCGGCCAAACGGAGCCGCTTCATCAGATCAATGGCTGTGTCCACATTCCGCTCCTGCGCCCCCCGTCAAATTACAAAGCTGCATTCTATTGTCTTTGTAGGGGCTTGTGTGGAGCTGAAGGTGCTCGCCACGAGAATTGGGCTTGGGGGAGTATGCTTTGGATATGTTTGAGGGTATGTTTCGAGGGTATGTTTCGAGGGCATGTTGCGCCCAACCCAACTTCTGCTCTCCTCTTAAAACCTGAGTCCCCAAATATGCACACGCCGTCACACGCCCGTGTGCAGAAGCCAAAACCTGAAAAAAGAAAGGAGCAACTACTGCTCTGAGATCCTTGGTGATATGGCCCCAGCCAAAGTTAAGGCCGTCAAAGTAGAAGTGGTACTCGAAGAAGATTTCATCAACGAGAGCACTAAGCTCAGGGTGCCGCGCAATAGACTCCACAATCTGCAGCTCCGGACCGCCATCGATGTCAACCTTCAAAACCACGAAGTCCTCTGGCTTCACGGCATTCGGAAGCATGTTCAGGAAGCTTCCACGCTGTGCGTAAAGGTCTTTGCCCAAGGTGTCTTCACAGGAGTTTTCGTTGACCGGGACGTTGTAGAACCGGGTTCGTTCCCGAATGTGATCGGGAAGCGGGCCCCACCAAGCTCGATGGTCTTGGCCGGCCATCTCCCAGCCATAGATATCATCGAACTCAACGCAGCGATCCTTATACATGTTGAAGAACAACGGGATGGAAGGTCCGGCTCCGGATCCTGCCCGGTAGTCTACATTTAGAAAATCACGGGTGCCAGCATTGGTCGTGCAGCCCAGGTCGAAAAGTTTCGCACTGGGCTTGGGGCCTGGCCTCCCGCAGAAATCCTCCAGAATCAAGTACTGGATGTCAAATATGCCCACTGTGCCAACACAAACAGCGTGCGGATTGCGCGCAACGCCTGACAGTGGCTCTATCCAATGAGGTCTCTTATCCTCCCCCACGAGGTAGTAAGAAAGTGCCTCTGCTTCTGAAGGAGTCGGGTCGCGAGCACGCATTCCAGGCACGGGTTTGAATACAGACCTGGAGTAGTTTAGCCACTGCCCTGCCAGGTCTTTCTGCTCCTTCGCAAGCTGGCAGATCTGTCCGGCACGAGATTGCTTCGTCCATGCGGTCTCCAAAGCGCTGGGGACGTACTGAAATTTTTGCCGCGGACCCACGATGACATTCTGCCCAAGCACGGGCACACACGGGTCGCTGCCGCGCAGCTTCCAGGGTGGGGGAGGCGCCAACGGTGCCGGAGGCGCCAACGGCGCCGGCTCAGTCAGTTGAGGCGTCGCGGTGGGAGGCTTGATAGGTGCAGAGATCTGCAGCTCAGAGCGGGCTGGGTATGGCACCGGGTATGGCGTCGGCTGAACTTGGAAGATTTCCGCACCATGAGAACTACTGTTTCTCATGAAAACCTCCACCCGCCCTAAGTAGAGGATCACCAGGACCCCGACGAACCACCGACAAAGACGGTCCGAGCAGCACCCGGATCCCTGCTTCTCATCATAAGCTCCACCTGATGAAACTCGCACCTTCTTCCCCTCAAGCGGCTCCGTATCCGAGCATTCATCCGCAGCCTGGCCCAAAGTCTGTGGGGGCTGCTGCAACATGGCGCTACAATTACAGCTACCAGCGCCGGCTAGTGTACCATTACCATCACTCACCCACGAAGCGGCTAGAGAAAGTAGCTGAACAATCATTTGTACAACTTCATATGGTCTGCAAGTTGTGAGAACTTCAGTCATTTGCATTCATTTGCGACATCCTGGGGCTGAGTGAAAGGAATGCCTTCCCGAGTCAAGTAATTCATGCGATCCAGGTATTGCATGCAGATGCATGCAGCACCCTCTGCAATGTAACATGCACTTCTGTGGTTCATTTGAGCTTGCTGTGGCACATTTGCTGGACCGACTGCTGAGAGTGCAGCGAACGAAGAGCCACGAAGGGCCAAGTGTCACAAGCATGCCAGTGTCAGAGCGCGTTCATGACCACAACGTGTCAGTCAGGACTTAAGTCAAGCTGCTGCATGCAGGTGGAGCTGTGTGCAGCCAGAAGCTGAAACCGAAGGTTGCGAAAAGCGCTCGGGGGATGTCGAGACATATGGCTGAAGACAAGGGAACCGCCCCTGCCATGGCTCAAAATGCACCATGCGCATGACAGCGTGACGTTGCATATAATGTTCATGGCCTGGCTGCACGGCATGGTACTAGCAGCGTACCCTCCGCGAGGTGAACTCTCAGTGCGATTTGCTGTCGCTTCAGAACCATTTCCGCCTAGCAAATGAGACTGTCACATTGTAGCTACGAGTACCATTTCATCGCTTCGCAAAGACGCACGAACAATCTTTGGCAAAGTAGCAAAACCAGGTGCCAGCTGGACAGCGTCAATCGCCATTTGCACTGAGCGGACTTCCCAAGCTGAGCAACCTCACAAAGGAACTGCCTGCTCAAGGCACCACAAACCAACAAACGACTCTGAGTGAAGCCAAGAGGCTTTGCCTGGCTGCGTCCTCTGTGGGAGGCTCCCGCTTAGGGATCTCAACTGGTGCACTGCTTGCTGTGCGCACCTGCATACATACAGCAGCGGCACAATACTGTCGTAAACTCAGAGCAGGCTGTGCCTCAGTTGCTTCACACCCATGGCTCCTCTCCTCAGCAATCTCGGCACCAGCCAGTAACGGATCGGACGCTTCGATCAGTTCGACCGCTGCAGAAGCAGCCCCTTGCCAGGGCACACCGGAGACCTGCCGACAGAATTTCTAGCACGTCCTGCGTAGTGATGTTTCTCCACCTCTCTCTGGGCTTCATCCAGGCGCCGGCCCAGCTCCTCGCGGAAACGCTTTGCACGATCGGCCAGCAGCTCAAGACCTCCAAAGCATGCAAGGCGAAGAGATGCGCACGTGCAACAGGTTCTGTCCAGGTGGAAGGCAAGTCACGCTTTGCTCTCTCGATGTCATCTTCAGGAGCACTGCAGGTCCAGGGTCGGCCCATCACACAGGCTGTGGGGTGAATGAGACCCTGCACATCTGCTTACAAGGTGTCACCACTCGTGTTGGCTACAGCCATGCATGAAAGGACAGCATGTATCCATCTAGAACTTTCCCTTCGAAGCCTCACCTAATGCCCTGGAAATCTTCAGCAAACCAACCGCAGGTAGATAAGATTCCCAGATTTGTTCCGACTACATGCTTCATCACACAGAGCAAACTGCGCAGGGCTATGGAGTATGATTCTTGCAAGCTCGTGCGGGTTGTTGCAATTGTTGCCAGCAGGAGTACAAAGGCTGCAAACGAAGACCCACAGTTGAGCCAGCAGGTGCCGCGACAGGAAGACCCAGCATGTCGGTGGCTCAGCTGAATCGTTGAATTGCTGTCAAGAAAAGCGCTGATCAGCCTGAGAGCCACCAGCGGGACCTTTCAAATCTACCGTGTCTTGGGCGGACCAACACCTGGAAGATCCGCCGGAAGCACTTAGGCCTTGGCCGCGTCCTTTTTCCTGGGGCTGCCCTTTGTCCTCCACATGTCTGATCTCTTCAACTTTGCAAGTTTTGCATCTGAATGTTTGGAACGTCAGAGGCCAGCCATGGGCATGTCCTGGGTGGTAAAGGGCAGCCAGCCTCAAGGTGATGAAAGCGCAACAAAGCCAACTGTGCAACATGTTGCAACAACTCGTGCACGCCGAGAGCGTGTCTCATGAGCTCAGCAGGACACAAGACGTCTGCCCGATTCAATCAAAATCAGCTGTTGGGACTTGCCATTATCTGCCTTTGACTTGCAAGCCCTTGTAGAATACCTACAAACATCTAGAAACTACCTAGAATCATCTCGAAGGTGTGTAGCATCTTGATCCATGCCAGCGGAACTGCAAATTCGAAACTACGCGAATTGTTGCCCCAGGCTGCTGTAAAGATCTTGAGGCTGCCAAGCCATGATTTCACAGGACGATTTTCCAGCCTCTGTTGGGGCTCGTCTGTCCTGCACGTTCGGCGTCCAGCATCTTGCCGGATTCCCATCCGCTGCCAGAGAAGAACCACTGCTGATTCTAGCCAAAGACGCATTAGCAGGCATAACACACGTTGTGTATTGTTTTGCTTGCTTCGAGTGGCTGGGTTACCATGAACCTGGCAAAACAAGCCACGGAAAAGGACAAGCCACTAAGCTGTAGCTGCATATCCAATATCTCACCTCTTGGCGCATGCACAAAAAACTGAGGGGTTCTGGTTGTCCTTCCTTGTTTACATAAATGCACAAGCCCCCTTGGGCAGCATGACAGCATGGCTAAGCACAGTGCTGCCACCGAATTTCACAAGGTATTCCCGCTGCACTCGGCTACCATTGAATCGTAACGGTATTGCTCAGTGACGGTCGAAACAAACTGCGACAAGTTACCTGCGACGTGTGCAGGGTCCACTCCTTTGGCATCACCTCTCACGTCGCCAGAATTCAGCAGGAGCTGTCCCGCGCCTGCACGACAATGCTCGCTAAATCTGTGAGCACGGCCAACTTTCCACAAAAATTCGGGCATGCAAGTCCTCACCAACTCGAAATCATGGACACCTGGCAAAAAATATTCCTCAACAAGCCATGAACATTGCATTTATCGCAACAATATAACACACTACCAACACCACTGAAGAAGCCAATTGCCAGGCCTCCTGTCCGTTGGTGCTCCTGTGAGACACTGCGGCGTAGATGGCACAGCTGTGCAAAGGTGGTGCAAAGCTTTACAAATTAACTTAAAGCATTTTCAAGGCGGACAAGGAGAAATCAATGTGAAGGCAACTGGATCTGCCTCTTGGTCTGGACCAGGCGCAACCATGCCTGAAACGAAAAGATGCATGACCACAGAAGCAGAAATCCCTAGACACAAATCAGACATTACAACCTGTAGCCAGCCCATGACCACAGCCAGCAGCAGCTAGGTGGCGTTTGCCACTTCAACTGGGGGCTGCACTGTAGATGCCGCCAGCAGCTGAGGTGAAAAGCCACGCCCTCAGAGATTGCAAGCTGGCAATAAATTTCCAGCACCTCACGCTGTACCCATCCTGCCGCATCTAAAGCGTTACATGTCTGAGCGTGGCACACGTCTGAGGCCATCTTCCCGGTACTTTGCGAGACACCCTCAATCCTTGTGTCAAGTACTGCACGAGGTCCAGCTGGGAAATCAGCAGATTATCATAAGCCGACGAGGCGGCCACACTCCGGCTGCAGAGGCTGTTGTCCCTGCAAGTTTGTTCACCTGGTGCAAATCCAGAAGCTGCACAATGGCATTGGCTCCCAGATTTCCTAAGGAGCTGATGGACTCGGGGGCTGCACCCAGTCAGGTAGCGGTGCCACTCCCAACCGACGGCAAAACTCCTCAGCCCGACGCCGGAGAGCTAGATTCGCCGAGAAGCGTTTGCGGTGCTTGTGATCTTGGTCCCATTTTGTGCTGTGCCTTCCTTACTTAATGTTTTGTCCCATTGTTTTCATATGTTACTTGCATTCACATTCGTGTGCGACTCGGAAGTCTGTCTGTTTATCTCTGGCCTCGGGGAATATGGTTTGACCGAAACAGAAAAGATAAGATGATCTGAAGCTCCGCTGCATGATCCCCAAAACGATACGGTCGTCCCCTGACGAGGTGAGATATGGTGAGATGACAAACTCCAAGAGTTTTTTTTCGACAAGCGGATAGCAAGGCTGCGGCCGTTTCTTGCGCAAGTTGGACGTGCCAAGCAAACCTTTTTTTGTCCGTGGGACGAAGGTCCCAAGAGGCAAGTCTCCGCTTCCAACTCCTTGCAACTTCGAAACTGCTTGAGGAAAGAAATTGATATGCATCATGCTCACGTATTCTACGCTTTGAAAGCGCACTAACGCATCTGGCTAGTACGAGTAGGATCTGACGGTTAGAAGCCGTAATAACGGAGGTTCGAAAAGGTTGGCAGATGTTGGGGGTGAAACAGCTGAGAACATGCTTAATAACAAGGTCATCGAGACACCGTTACACATTTTAAGAACGAACCCGTTCCCTGCTTGAACAAACATTCCAGCGGGTACCCAAAAATACCATCTGAGCCGCCAAAACGTAACACTTGACTTGCAAATACTCCGTGAATACATTGCCTGGGAAGCAGCGTGTGGTGTCAGACTTAGTAGCAACATGGTCCAACTGAGAGATTGACTCAGCGTCACAAGCTGTGGAGTAAGAAAAGCTTCGAAATCTGAAGCTTGTCCGTCCGCATGTCGCGCGCGGGAGATCACTGTTACAAGCACGCATGGTTTTGCATGCTTTCTTTGAACTTCTTCATTAAATCGGCTTGCACACTGTTTCGTACCGTCCCTCTGCAAGCGGCAAAAACCCAAGATGTCTGACACGACAAGAGGATCACGTGGCCTGGGTAGCTACACAAAAAAACAACACGAACAAAACTAGCCTTGCTGCACACCTGCCGCGCGGGGAAATCGGGGTGCATGTTTCCTGGCCCTGTTGCTCCTGCTGGCATTACTTCTAGCACACCCCTCTTTTCTTTTCATTGTTTCCAGTTTCCCATGCATGATTTGGGCAGCAATGCGCCAAGACTCACCAGGGCAAGCGCCTGCACAACATGTGACACAATTCGCACAGCTCTTCCAGCACTCTACTCAGCATTGAACATCGGAGAAATGGTGGCAATTCCGGGACAGTACCTGCACAGCAGGTGAAGTTGCAGCTCGGCCATGGCTGTCCCACATGCCCCTGCGCACATCGTAGGTTCGACCTTTCCACTCAATTGTCATTTCTCGAATGAGTTCTGTGACCTGACCATGCGCACATCAAGAATCACAATGGGCTGTAAAATGCCTTGCCTGGCCCTTCGACAACGTGGTGCAACCTCAAATCTGGACGCTGCAATCCTTTTCTGATGGAATCCGCTTTTGGGCTGAGAGCCCATGGACAACGTTTCTCGAAAACAATGATCTGGATGATGGCCAGGCCTGGCAAAATGAAACCTTGCCTCAATGAATCCATGCAAACCTCACCACCGGGCACGGGACAAATTGGCGGCCACCCCCGTGGACCAATTGTCAACGGTCATTCCAAAGGACCTGCTGCCATGTAGCCATGTTGTGCCAAACGCGTCCGTCCATGTTTACACAATACTAGCTCAGGGTCACACCACTCCATGCCGTAGACTTCGACTCCGGAATGGAATGCCCCATAACCCTTCGCCACCCTCAGGCCAGACCACGCAAACTCACGTCATCCCGCACAACAAGTGCTGCTGACAAGCAACGCATTAGGCCATCGTGTGAGGAATGTATTCCCAAGATCGTACACCCTCACCTGAAGGCCGCACACGCACGAAACCATGCAAACACTGGGGTCAGCAAAGGCAACAAATGCGGCAAAACAAATTCTAGATTTGCATCATCTTCGGATTTAACATGCCTGACAAGATTGGCGCCATCATGGCTCGGGGTCCGGGATTCCACGGCTTCCAATATCTACAGTTACTCTAATTGCCTCCTCATGTTCGTCAGGGTTTACACTGTCTCTGCACTGCTTGCTGACCAAGAGCAAACACGCGTTCTGCTTGAGATCTGCCAGGCCTCGGCCAAAATGCAACGACACAAATATCACAGGGGCTGTGCTAACCAGGAAGGTCCCGGCGCGGTGGCAACCTGCTGGAACGATGACTAGCCACGTTGGTCCCCACGCACGACTACGGGCAGGTCCATACAACATGTGGTTAGGCCTTCAGCGTTCTGCTCAATGCAGGGCTCGCCTCATACCCCGGCCTCAGCACGATTCGAATTCATCGCAGTGCGCTGCCAGGGCTGTGCTGCATGCCTGGGGTCCCGAGCGTGGGTTGGCCTGCACATGCACAAGACAATGAAGCGAATGGCGGTTGGAATCTGTTCGAAATTTCTGGAACAACCTTCTATGGTTGCGTTGTGGGCACGGAGTGGCCGTCCTGCTCGCCTGCAACGCTTACCACGTTGCAGATCCGAAAAAAATGAAAAAAATCACGGGCATGAACAACCAAGAAGCCTCCGATTTCCAAGTTGCGCCACTTTCTGCACCTCCTGAATGAACATGGGGCCAAACATGAAGGACAAATCGTTCAATAGCTGCGGGCGGTATCACCTCTTCATCTGCTTCGGAGGAGGCCAACCATCCAAACCAGCCTCGTGCACACAGTTGGGACGATGGTTGTTCTGAACATGTTTTCAACAAACTGGGCACGTCGCTCATGCAGCTGTTCTGAAAACACAGCACTGGTAAGAAATGACAGCTGCGCACAACATGAATGTGTTGAATCAGGCAAATTGGACAATCAGCCACACGATCAATCAACACACCATGGGGCACATGAACGGGCGGCGCCAAAAACTAATGTGTTTGTTGGCTGGCACTCCACGGGTTGCCCCAATTGTTCAAAAGTTGTGTTTGTAAGTGTCGGTCTCCCAACCCCTTTAACACGGGCAACATTCCTGAAATGAATCCGGCACTGTGCATTGAATGGCCAAGTTGAAAATGTACTGGTCCAGATGTCCGGTTCCAAACCTGACCACCGCCACCCCATGACCCTTCGCATGACGAGCCGGGTTCTTGGTTGTGGCTGGTGGCGCGAAGCAGCCACGGCCATGGACGACGGTCAGATGGGGCTCAGCCACATGTCGGGCGCAAAGCCGCTCCACCCCTCTGGCAACCTCAGGTGGTTTTACTTGTTAAGATGGAGGGGCACGCATCGCCACCAACATTTTTCTCGCGACATGAACGCGGATGTCCTCGCAAATGGGCTACCGCTGTGGCAGGGTGTCCCAGTGGCGGTCGACGCGACTTTTGCACGTTTTGTGTCCGGTGCGCTTTCGGGCAACAAATTGTGATTGAGCATGGCTGCGGGTGACGCGACAGGCAGTGGGCTTATGCGCAAACAAATGGTCAGGACAACCTTACTGACTCGCACCATGGCCCTCACTGCAGTGTGGCCAAGCCGCTCGTGAATTATTGCACGATGTCTAGCTCAAATTTTAATCGGGCATTCCTTGGGGGGTTGAGCAATTGATTTTACATTTATTGGGGTTGTAAATGTGAAACGGAGGGGGGCCCGTGCAAAAGTGAGCTGGGCACCGGGGTGTTTCTATTTAGCGAACAAAGCATGCCCCCAGCTTCAGACAGACAAGGAGCCTGTGGTGTTTGTTGTCATGGTTAGGTCGGTCCTGCGCGCCACGCAATCTGTGATGATCTTGCAACGAAACTGTTTGAATGTAGTGAGCGGTTCCTTCCAGCAAAACAAGATGCGTCACATTTTTTTCCACGGGCCCCTTTGCGCCTGCATATGGTTGCCCCTACCTGGACATTCCCACACCATGCTTAGGCCCGCCCTGGCACGGGAAGCGGCTGGGCGCGACCATCACGGTGGCCCTGGCGCCGGCCAGCGCGTCCACCAGCCAGCGCGTCCGCCAGGGGCGGCTCGGGCTCGCGCTCGCCTGGCGTGGGTTTTCCGTTGCGGGTCAGCAGGCATAGCAACGTGGTGTCGACGGCCCCTTGGGTTTTTTCCACAGTGGCAGTGCGTGTTTCACTCGGCAAAAATCTGCCATTCATGTTGCAAAAAAAATGATGGCAACCCTGGCCTTGCGGCACATGCGTGCGGCGGCCTGCTCTACGCGCGCCCCTTGCGCCCCCAGCAGCAAACCGCATAGTGGCCGCCCAATCATCCAGCCGACCGCTTGCACCGGCAGCTGCGAGGAGTATGCGGCAACAGGCGCCTGATCGCATACAATCGCTGGGGATGCGAAATGCGGACCTGTAGGCATAATGATGAGGGCTCGCAACCCGTTGAGGCCCGCTTGTGACAGAAGGAGGGCGCGAGATGCGGGATCGAGGTCACGGAAAAGGTTCTCAAACGCCGTTGGTACGAATGGCATGGTGCTGCGCCTGCGGGTTTGGGTCGCCGGGGGTCATCATAATAAGCTAACACATGTGCCAGGCAGCAATCAACCCAAAGGTGATGTATGTCCGGGGGGTGCGTGGCCGCTACCAGCGCTGCGCGGGAAGATTAGCAGACTATGCGGGAACATGTTTGGGCAGCAAATGAGCTCGGCAACGCGGGCAACCAGTACGAGGGGTCAAAGGTCTACAGTTCTCAGTCCTTATATGTCTGTATCCTTTTGGATAAGCGTGTGTACTCGTACTCACGCATACTCAGGCACAGGCTCCAATATGCTCAAAGAAATGGCCAGGATTGGCCACGGTATTGTTCAGCTTATTTCAAGTTCTGCGGATGCTGGAAAATGATTGCCAGGGGGTTGAGGGGCCTGGGGGTTTCGAAATCTTGTCTCCACGACACTCATTCGCGTATGCAAGCAGGGCTTCCCACATAGGAAAAAACAGGAAATTTGTTCAAGTCTTTCTTTTTTGGCGGATTTTTCTCCTGCCATTCTCGCGGTCCCAGTGCATCGTGCGCCAGAGGCGCAGCGGCGCTTACGCAATTCGTCCACGCAACAGTTCCACCGCAAAACCCGCACACTCTTGCTGCCGCACGGGAGGGTGCAAGACCAACCGCCGCACGGACGCGAGCGAGCAGTCGGACAAATGTTGTGGCCCTGGGAGCCCACCTGCCGCTCACCTCAATTCCGAAGAAAATCAAGCCGCAGCGTCTTGCCTGCTTGATCTCCGTGTAGGTGTGGCGTCTCTTCCCTGCACGCGGCTGCCCGCCACGGCCGACAGGTCGGGATGCGGGCTCCCGAATCTGAAAAAAAACTTCGGACACGAGCTTGTCCACCGCAGCTCCGGCACCGCGTGGTCTTGTTTGCATGGCGTGGACGGCGTCTTGCGCGGGGCTCGAAGAGCTCGCCCTCTTGGCTAAAACTGTGAGCCTCGAGGTCCGCCACGGCAATGACCAGACCTGCACAGGCACGTGGGTCCGTGGGTCTGCCGGTGCAGCATTGCGCAACGCCATGACCAAAGCGGCCCACCGGTCGCCCGCGAGCGGATGCGAAAGTAGTAATTTTCAAATCTTGGCCCCCAACGCTGTGTAGACGAGACGACAACACGGATTTCCAGAAATGCACAAACAGAGCGATTGTTTTTGCGCAGCCTAACGGTTTCGAGCAACGCATACGCCTGGACATTGGAACCGCGTCTGTCGGGGGCAATGTTCAGGAAACCAAGTTGGTCGCGCAATCCCTCCTTGCGCCGGGGCGCCAAGTGCCACAAAAGGGCGCCAAGTGCCACAAAGCGAGGACGCCCAAATTCCGGCAGACCATGAGCTCGTCAACGCACTGCCGACAGCTGTAGCCCTGTCTGCTGACCGTGAGGGCTACATCACGGCGGCAACACAATCAGCGCTATTGAAAACGTTCGGGGGTGGCGTGGTGGCCACTGCAGCACCAGACTTGGCGGAGACATGCGAAGTGCCCTTGCTGGTGCACCTCCACCCGAATGCCCGAGTCATGTGGATGAGGGTGCCTGCGAAGCTGGCGCCCCAGACGAAAGACCTTCTCGCCCAACGGCCGCCGACTTCTACCCTGAGCACCATGAGGCGTGGCAGGCCTCCCAACAAAATTGATTAGCACAACACTTTTCGTGCAAACCTTGCTGCACGAAACTGAGCCACGGAACTGAGGACAATCAGGCTTGTGGGGGTGCAATTGCTGAGCGGGCAACTTCTGCAGCCAAGGTGAAGGCCAAAAGCGAAAAAATATGATGCAGCTTGTACAAGTTTGGTACAATGTGGTCGTGCTTGCACTGCGAAGTGCCAGTTGGCATTGATCAACAACACCCGGAGGACCCGGCGGCCACATGCGTAAATGTACATATGTCTGCAAAATGCGTGCAACGAATGAAACCGGCAGATTTTCAGTATTCGTCCTAGATGGGCATGCGGTTTTGTTTGGTTTTGCCACGTGCTACTAACTTAAAGGACCGAAGAACCCCACATGTGTAGTATAGCCTTAATCTACGTGTAATGATGTTAGGATACGGTCGCCCGCCGAATTTTACAAAAAAATATGTTCGAGGAGGAGGTGGAAAAACGAAACGATCGTTCTGAGCAATGCGAGGAGCTGGCCACGCGCACGCGAAAATAGACACAAATTCTCATTTTTTGACACATGATCACCATCTCGCTCTCGACTCGAACATGGTTGTTCGTGTGGAACCTGAGTCATGTTTACTCACAAGTACACTAGGACTGAATTTTGGACAGCGTGTTTGAAGATGTCAGCAGTCGCAAGATTCCCGGACTCGCACTTGAAGCACGCCCACTCCAAGGCGATCCAATCCGGATGACTTGGTGCTTGTGAAGAACATAAATCATTCAAGTGTGAAAAGCGTTTTTTTTGCAATATTCGGTTGAAAAGCGCCGGAGAAAATCACCCTCCAACAGCCCGCCCATACACTCACCTATCATGGGGGAGAAACCATACGCGAAAGGCGAAAGCATATACACCAGCTGCAGCTGATGTCGACCTCGCGCTCACGCAATATGCTCATGGCTTCGTCGCAAAATGTCGTCTCGAAGGCTTGTCGTTTTTTTACACATGTGTTCCTCAATCGGCAGAGTGTGTGTGTGTGTATGTATGTATGTATGTATGTATGAATG